TGATTTCTGATTTTTCAACCGATCCGGTCCCTTTTCGCAAATTTTAAAACGCTGATTCAGACTATGTAGGAAAAAAATTATTATTTCTAAGAAGTGTTATTCAGAGACAGAATTCCTAATATGAGATATACTGACAAATTTTACCACCATGGGAATCGAAACGCATAATGAAAAGCACCCGACTGACCTAAACACTAACCCACTAGGAATAGAAGGTACCATACAAACAAATCACCAACATGGCAGATAAACCAATACAGAACTAGTTTTTTCAGTTGCAAATACCATAAACTAACTTGGAAAGATCATGACATAAAAAGCTATCCAATTCCTGTGCAAGGAAAACATTAATGTTGCATAAAATCATGCTCCCAACCTCGAAAAAAATGTATAAGCCTTCTGATATGTAATGTAGACGTTCTTCTTTCCAAATACCCCACACTTATTCAAACCTATGTCTATATATACGTGCATATGTACATATATGCATACATATATACAGTAGTGGGAGAGTGGGAGAGAATAATCTCATGGTGTTCCAAGGACATGTAGACGCATTTTTGAAGGAGACTTCTCCAGCTTGACAACTTCAAGACTTTTACCTGTGAAGCATTTTTGAAGGAGACTTCTCCAGCTTGACAACTTCAATCAGTGATGACGGAGTTAAACCGGTTGCATGGAACAGGCACCAAGGGTCCAGATTGGTTGTAGTATAAAGGGGCAGCAATGGTAGGATAATTTACATTGGAGACATTGTTGATAATCTGATTAACAACATTAACCATTTGGTAGGAGACCTCCTTGCTTCGAAACAAGGATTCATTAGCAGTGTATACATCCACACATGGGAGTATATCATCCAGTGCTGTCCTTGCATGAGGGTGATCTACCCATTCTTGCATGGCAACAGAAGTATCTGAAACAACACTGCTCATCAAGAAGCACCAAAATATCAGTCAGGAAACAGAAATCTATGGACTCATCCTCCCCCCACCCCATAAAAAAATAAAGTAAAAAATAAAAAAAATTAAAATTGAGAGAAAGAGAGTTTCAGGATGATGAAGGTGGATGTGGTGGTGAGATGTAACAACTATTTCACAACCGATTATGAATACAACCTTCAAGATTGTCACTATAGGCAATTTTTTCTGTTACTTCAGCATGTTGGATAAGACAATGAAGACTAATGCCTCCTATGCCTGTAGAAAAAATTTAAGATTAAATTTTAGTCCTAGTTCAGATTCTTTTTCTTTTTTCTTTTTTCTTTTTTCTTTTTTTGGTAATCAAAATCTGTAAAAGTCATCCAGTCAACATACAATATTTCTTTCGTCATAAAGAGAGTAAGACTCGAAGACTTCAAGGTTGTTCTAAAGATTTTACAACTATGGTGCAAGTTTCATTTGTATGTTACAGCAAAGATTTTTCCTATGTATGTTGTTAGACCTATTTCCATTCCAAGATTTTGGTGAGAGTCACATAGACGTTATGATGGAATTGCTAATCCCATTTTCTTTTCATATTCGACAAGTGTGTCTCAGTTCACCAACAAACGTTCTTCAACTCACAATAACACCAAAATTTTTCATATCTATGTTTGTTATACCAAAGACTTTCATATCTATATTCTTAATCACATTTTTCATTCCAAGATTTCAGTGCTACTCAATAGATATTATAACTCAATTTGCTAGTCCTGTTTCCTTTTCATATTTCAATAAGTGAGACTCAATCCAGCATAATGTTTGTCAACTCAGAATTAGACAAAATTCATCAAGAAGAGAATCATAAAGAGACAGAAACACAATCATTTCCTAAAATTGAGACGTGAGAGAGACCCAGTATTTCAGTAGAATCCATATAAAAGCAAGGACAGTGTGCATGCCTCTTGTTGCTAAAGTTGTGTCAACCAAATATTAAATAACAAAAGCAAATCCTTCAATTTTCAATTGATACGTGCAAATATTAGTCCTACCTCTGCATATCAGGCCCACCAAATCATCCGTATAGATGCAATGCATTTATTACACTTCGCATATCAAAAATTTCAACCTTAGGTTAATGTTATTTCTGAGTTGATCTCAAAGCATTAGGTGAAAAGCTGTGGAATGGAGTCAACACAGTCCCATTCTATAAGCCCAGCTGGATAATGCGAAGAGTTCTTACAATAAAATACTTCCTAGTGAGGAACCTGATAGTTTCTCCTTACCCTATATCAAACAACTTCTTCCCCTCAAATGGGACAAATTTCTAGCATAGAATAACACCCTAGCAGCATTTCATTTCTTTTCAAAGGATGCTGATAATTGATCCCACAAGATTATCTAGCAAAAAATGAAAAGAAAAGGAACCCACAAAAGAGAATGTCCCTTTAGCTTGACACATGCAACCATGACTCTCTGCACATTGAACAACAGCGTCCAGAAGAAGAATTTCTCAAGAAAACATAATAAGTCCAAACAAATCCTCAAATTCCCATAAAAGTCTGGAGGCTCTTCATGTGTGCCACAATGTTTTCTTCCATCAATTGCCTAAATAGGCCCATGGCTCCCATATTTTCGAGTTCCTCCGGAGCATGAACACAGATTGCCCTGACTAAGAGTCTTAAGACTAAGAGGCATTCAGAGCATTATTCTTCAATTCTTCTGGATGCATCATAAATTACATCAGTTGCTCAGCTTATTTTTGACGCAATTGAATAGCTTGGTTGCGAAATCACTCCTCAAGTACCCCCAAGAAACAAAAACCATTTTTTCCATCCTTGCTACTACCATGAATTACAACTCATGAATCCATCACTTACTTGATCCGTCCCCAAAAGGATTGGAACATCAAAAACCTTTTAGACTTCTTTATTTTTCCAAAGACTCTTCCAGCTCTAGAAATAATGACAAATGTGAGAACTATCAAAAATAAACTTAAAAGTCTTAAATCAAGCATGAATCAAAATGTAATCAACAACTACTCTTCTGCCCTAATAGCAACCAACTTGAAGAGAACCTAAGAAGATCCTAAAGTCTCTCATTGCTGCCTGTCGTACAGCCATCAAGAGTTAAATGTGAGCAAAAGACTACTACAAATTGGGATTTCAGACAGTTGTCAGAGGATTTAACAAATGTCTTGATATGATTTACAACCTAAACACATACAAGCATCTAAAACTCAAAGAACAAGGAACCTATCCAGTGGAAAACCCAAAGTCCCACGCGTTCTACTTAGATATACAGTTTCTCAGCCTCGAGTGAAAGGATCAACATTATGGAAACTGAGTCAATGCAAGGTTTCTGGCTGTTATTAAAGTGCTCAAGTATGTATTCTGCTTTAGAACTACATTTTCTCAGCCTCACTAAAGGGTACAACATTATATGAAACTGATTACAGTGCACATCCAGAGTTTCTTGCTCTTATAGAAGTGCTCAGAGTGTTCTCTGTGATACAAATCTGCCTAATATATCCAAAATTTTCATGAACAACAGTAAAGAGAAGCCATAAATTATAACATAACTACATAAGCAACCAAACTAGTTAAAAACTCAAGCCCCGAGAAAAAAAATCAAACATAAACACAATACTGAATCAAACTATAATGAACAGCATTGAAGTTAACTTGCTACTTAAAAAATCAAGATTTGTACAAGTTATACGTCTCAAAGCTTATGAATCTATGTATGAACTATCACACTGAAAAAAAAAACAAAGGAAATGATTAAGCTAGTAGAAATAATTTAATAAAATGATACATAATAAGTTAACAACTCTGGTATATGGCACTTTCTTTCAGGTATGCCCTAACCACATAATTGAAGTCATTACTTACTTGTTGAGAAGAAGAAATACACCACATAAAATGAATGTCCCAGCAACTAGAATCCAACCAATGATAACCAATCTGCACATATCATTCAACATATGATTATTCAATGATAACTTACTTAAAACAGTGTCAGTCTGAAGATAATAATGTGAAAACAAGAAAAATGATGCTCAATCAAGATACTTACATGTATACAATAACTTGAATCCCAAGAATAGATAACACGACAAAATAGCCAACAATGGAAGTAATAATAGACAAGTAGAACTAAAAATAAACAAGCAAAAGTGCTAAAGAAATTGAAAGAATAGTGTCTGAACACAAGGTTCCTAAGGCTAAGGATTTAAATGCTTACGAAATCCAATAAATGCTAAAAATAGCATAACTTCAGCCATGACAATCACGACAATCACGACAATCAGAAAGTATCTCCTGCATCACAAATTCACAATAAACAAAATGAGTCAATCCAACACAGGATTCAACAATAATTTAATTAGGTAAGCATAGAACATCCTATTAAAGATTGTAGGAAACCTATTTTAGTTCATAACCTATTGAATCTATATTCCTCAAATAAGAAAAAAACACACTTCAATTGGAATATAATTTGATGGTTTTACCAGTAAAATATTTCAAATAACATAAACTAAAGTACACAGAAAACAGAAAATGCGCAGGCAAATGTCAAAAGGCGGCTATTGCTATTCTCCTACTATTGCAATTCGTTTTGCGCAGGTGTTGAATCTGAAATGTGTGTGTCGAATCCGAGATGCACAGTAGATGTATCGGGCCTTCTTACACAGTATCAAGCCAATTCTGAATTTTCTGAGAATTGCACCCCGTCCTATTCTGGAGAGTATTAGCGGACGCATTTAGCTTTGTGACAAGATTATCGATCTTAGCCTGATCATCAGCAAGAAGGAAGATGCGATAAACCCCAATGCTCTTAGCAGCTGATAAACTCAGCAAGAAGTTCTTAAGATTGTCAACTGTCGAATAAGCCTGGCCCACTACATAATCTCAGGTGCATTTTGTGCTTCCATGGAACTACCCCTGACCAGTATACAAAACAACACATCCAAATCTGCAACAAAAGCAACAAAAGTCAAGTGGGTCATCAGAAAATCTGTGTGAAACAAGCAAAATAAATACAGAAATAACATATAAGATAGAGAAAAAACCCAATGAAGTTGAACCAAAACCAGTATGAAAAAATAAAAATAAAAAACTCAACAACCCAAAGCAAATTCTTTGAAGACAATGAGAGAGAGAGAGAGAGAGAGAGAGAGAGAGAGAGAGAGAGAGAGAGAGAGAGAGTAGAGTAGACGACGACGACGAGTAAGTAAGTAAGTAAGAAAGTAAAGGTAAGGAAGGTAAGTAAGTAGTAGTACGTACGACGTACG